CCCTTCCTTATCCCTCCTCCTCCTCCTCCTCCCCCTCCTCCTGCCTGCTCCCTCATCCACATAATCAGCATCCTCCTCCTCCCTTCCATCTCCTTCTCCTTCTACTCCTCCTCCTCCTCCTCCACCTCCTCCTCCACCTCCTCTTCATCCCGAACGGCATCTCGGAGCCTAGAGTTGCGAGGATGTCTCCAGCGTAACGGGCTGGACCACCTCGCGCGCGGCATCTCGGACCCCAGAGTTGCGACGATGTCTCGGGCGAAACGTGCTGCGAGGAAGTCTCAGGCGAAACGGGCCGGACCACCTCGAGCGCGTCGTCTCAGAGCTCCGAGTTGCGGGGGCCTCCTGGTGCCTCCTGGGGCCTCCTGGGGACCTCCTGGGGCTTCCTCCTGGGCCTCCTGTGGCCTCCTGAACTCCACCTGGGGCTTCCTGAAGCCTCTTGGGGCTCCCAGGGGGGATATCTAACCTGTGGCCGCTTGGGCCCCTCAAAATGGATGGAAAAATCAACGAATCGACACCGTATGTGTATTAACTTGACACGTTCTCATAGGGGGCCTCTTGGGGCCTCCTGGGAGCCTCCTGGGAATCTCCTGGGGACCCCAGGGGCCTGTCCTGGGCGTCCTGCGGCCTCCTGGAGCTCTCTGGGGCCTCCTGGGGCTCCCAGGGTCCCAGGGCTCCCAGGCTGGACCATCTCTTGCGCGGCATCTGGGAGCTCAGAGTTGCGAGAATGTCTTGTGCGAAACAGGCCAGACCACCTTGCGCACGGCATCTCAGAGCTCAGAGTTTCGAGGATGTCTCAGGCGAGACGGGCCGGACCACCTCGCGCAGGGCATCTCAGAGCTCAGAGTTTCGAGGATGTCTCAGGCGAAACAGGCCGGACCACCTCTCGCGCGGCATCTCAGAGCTCAAAGCTTCGAGGATGTCTCAGGCGAAACGGGCCGGACCACCTTGCGCAAGGCATCTCAGGGCTCAGAGTTTCGAGGATGTCTCAGGCGAAACGGCCCGGACCACCTCTCGCGCGGCGTCTCAGAGCTCAGAATTTCGAGGATGTCTCAGGCGAAACGGGCCGGACCACCTCTCGCGCGGCATCTCAGAGCTCAGAATTTGGAGGATGTCTCAGGCGAAACGGGCCGGACAACATCGCGGACGGCATCTCAGAGTTTCGAGGACATCTCAGGCGAAACGGGCCGGACCAACTCTCGCGCGGCATCTGAGCCCAGAGTTTGGAGGATGTCTCAAGCGAAACGGGCCGGACCACTTCTTGCGCTGCACCTCGGGGCCCAGAGTTGCGAGGATGCCTCAGGCGAAACAGGCCGGACCACCTCGCAAGCGGCATCTCGGAGCTCAGAGTTTGGAGGATGTCTCAGGCGAAACGGGCCGAACCACCTCTCGCACGGCATCTCGGGGTCAGAGTTTCGAGGATGTCTCAGGCGAAACGGGCCGAACCACCTCGCAAGCGTCATCTCGGAACCCGGAGTTGCGAGGATGTCTCAGGCGAAACAGGCCGGACCACCTCTCGCACGGTACCGCGGGGCTCAGAGTTTCGAGGATGTCAAGCGAAACGACCCGGACCACCTCTCGCGCGGCGTCCTGGAGCGCAACTTTTCGAGGATGTCTCAGGCGAAACGGCTAATCCTGGCCAACTCAGAAAAGAGAGTTGTGAGGATGTCTCAAGCGAAACGGCCCGGACCATCAGATTTTTGTGAGGATGTCTCTGCTCCCCTTTCCCTCGGCTGGAGTGAGTTTCTATCACAACAGCACCCCGTTCAGCAAGCTGTTTGGGGAAAAATCGTGTTCGTATCTTACCGTCCCCATTTTGGCTCGAACTGGATAGTTTTGCAATCCAGTGCAGCAAGCGTAGTTCTCCTGTACACGATGAGCCTTCAATCGGATCCAGACGCAATGTGATCATGCATTGGGCAAATCAAGTTGCAGCTCAACGTTCGACTTGCGGACGACAGCATCCCGCCGGGACTCGACAGGAAAATGATACCTACTATGGTACCTTGTAAGTTCCACATCCAACAGGGACGGGCGCCTACGATGGTGCAGTTTGAGGCTGCTGAGATCAATTTCCCCTGGCGCAAGTCTCCTGGCGGTGTTCCTGAAGTCCCCGGCAAGCGTCACTGCAGCCAATTATCTGACAATGTGCCTGCTGCGAAGATCATCAAGGGCGGCGTGGCGATACCGACGGCAGAACGTACCAGAGAGGAGAAGGGTCTCGCCAAACCTGGCGAGGCGTCAGCGATTACCCCGGCAGCGGGTGGCTGACCAAGCTCAGCAAGGGCCAGAGCGCAGCTACGACGGTGCGGTCGGCGATGCCGGGCTCAGCAGCAATGCTGATATTTGACCGCGCCGCTTGATGCTCAGCGAGGCGCCGCAGCCGCCACTGACGAAGGAGTCGGAGACTGTCATCGTCGACGACTGCGCCCCCAGCGATACATCGACAGCGCCAACGACTCTCTTGGTGGTTGGCCCCGACGCTTCGGCTTCAACGGCGGCAGCATCCACGGGCGCGGCTAAGGCGGCAGCATCGGCCGGCATTTCTCCGCCCGCGCCGCCAGCGGACAAGCATCATGACACGCGGCTGGATTCGTTGCCCGACGAGCTACCCGACGCGCAGCCACCATGCGATTACGACCAGTATTTCTCAGGCTTGCAGGGGCTAGGCCTCGCGGATTCGCAGCTCGCAGATCCGCAGCCCATCTGGGGGTTTCTGGGCGCTGCGGCACCGCGACCGCCCCCATGCGCATCAATTGCATAAAGTGCTTAGGTGATCAGAGGTTGTACTGAATAGCTTTTCATCTGTTGGCCTTGTCACTATCGCCCAAAAGGTGCCACTAGGAAATCCTGCCCCCTGCCTCAGAACTGGTCCGATGAGCCGTTGTGCCCTTGCCCGATCTTGGGGCGCTGCATTGGATTGCACTGATATTTCGAAGAATATTTAGGTAGTTCAATGGTTTTAGTCCTTCAGCAGATGCCCGAAGTGTTTCAATTAATTCTAAAAGCATTTCAATGGGGCCCCTAAGTGTCGTACACGGTTCCATTCGTCAAACGCTGGTGCACACTAAACTGCCAGCTCGCCCAAAAATGGCGCCCATGTGAATTGCATGAGCATTGGATGCTGCGGCGTTTCGTGTCTTGATGTGCTTGTTACCACGCTTGCTTCGGGTTTGCGTAAGATTCTGTTTCTGCAGATACATGACGCTCCGCGTCGCAGCCACTCTCGCCTGAATGTGCTTGAGGCGCGCCGCGTTGGTATTCATGAATCTTCACGCTTCGCGTCTCAATATTATTGGCGCTTCACCATCCTTACAAGTACCGTCGTCACCCTCAGCACCACCATCACCATCGCCATGATCATCCCAACCAATTTCATGAACACCACCGTCATCACCATCAACGACAACATCATCGTCACGGGCAGCATCGCCATCATCAGTTGTTGTACGACCCAAATGGCCCAACAATGTTTTCGGCCTCAAAACCACCCAAAAGCTTAGCTGCCCCGATACGGAACACGCAACACGTAGCGTGTTGATACGGAGCTCAACACGAAGACTGAAAACGTACGTATGACGCGATACATTCGCCAAAACGTGGGCCAATACGCTGAGCCAAAACGCAACGTATTGACACGGACGTTTTAAGCACGGTGCGTGTTGCGTCTCCAAGCGGGCGTATCGAGGCAACTAAGCCCAAGAGGATCCCTAGAATGCCTAGGACGGCCGACTTGACACTCTAGGCAGGTCCCTAAGACGCTCCAAGAGAGCTCCAAGACGACCCAAGAGGGTCCCGAGACAGCCCAAGAGGGCACCACAGCAAGTCAAGACAGCCTCGAGACAGCCCAGATGAGCTACACAAAAGCTCCTCAAGAAGTGAGGGCGAGAGGTAACACATGTGACCGCCGTCCTTCTTCTCCTCCTGCCCCTCCTCCTCCTCCTCCTCCTCATCATCATCGTCATCATCATCACCACCATCACCATCATCACCATCACCATCACCATCATCATCATCATCATCATCATCATCATCATCATCATCATCATCATCATCACCATAATCAGCATCACCATGATCAGCATCATTGCCATCAGCATCAACACTATCCTCGTCGTCAAATCCTCATCCTCAGCATCATCATCAGTATCATCAGCATCCTCGTTACCACCACCGTCATCATCATCAGCATAAGCATCATCATCATCATTATCATCATCATGAGCATCATCATCATCATCATGATCATCATCATAATCATCATCATCGTCATCATCATCATCATCAGCATCAGCATCATCATCAGCCGCATCGTCATGCTCTTCCTCATCAGTATCATCACATTAATGTTCATATTCCTTTCCAATACTGACACGACGCGGAAGAACACGTCGCAGATTACAGCTCTCCAGCCCTCAGGATATCGGGTGTTACGCCTTACGGCGTTCTGTCAATCGCAACAAAGGTGCTGTGCTGCCACGGTGGCGGGACTTGATGCAGGGAGCTGACTTGTCCTCCTCACTCTCGTCCTCCTCCTCCTCCTCCTCCTCCTCCTTCTCCTCCTCCCCCACCTCCTCCTCCTCCTCCTTCTCCTCCACCTCATCAAGGGGTTGCGCCCCTCCCTTGGGGGCTCAGACTGCATTCTCATGTCGGTGTGTAGAATCGGTGTCTTCTTCGAAGTGTCCAGTCCAGTCCTCCTCCGCCGCCTCTCCATTCTTCCTCCACGTATTTCCACTCATCCTCATCCTCATCCTCATCCTCCTCCTTTTCCTCCTCCTCCATCTCCATCATCTCCATCTCCATCTCATCTTCCTCTTCCTCCTCCTCCTCCTCTTCCTCCTCCTGCCCCTCGCCTCCTAGCCCCCTCTTCTCCTTGTATACGGCCGCCTTGATGGAGCCCAGGACCCTCCGGGCGGCGCCGCGCCCCTTGGGCCTCAGGCTCGCCGCGAGCTCGAGTGCCCTCGCGGTCACCTCCGCTGCGGGCACGGAGGACTCCACAACGCCTGTGGCGGCGAGCTCGTTCCCCCTCCTCGTCATGCTCGAGCACCCCCCAGTCCTCCTCTCTCTTCCTCCTCCTCCTCCTCCTCCTCCTCCTCCTCCTCCTCCTCCTCATCCTCCTCCTCCTCCTCCGCTTCCTCTCCTCTTCCTGTCATCCCCCCCTCTTCCTTCTCATCCTCCCCCCCTCCTCCCCCTCCTCCTCCTCCTCTCTCCTCCTCCTCCTCCTTCTCCTCCTCCTCCTCCTCGCTCCTCCTCCTCCTCCTCCTCCTCCTCCTCCTCCTCATCGTCACCATCACGATCATCACACACCAACATCATTCGCCTCATCATCATCATCATCATCATCATATCAATCATCCATCATCATCATCATCATCATCATCATCATCACCACCATCATCATCATCATCATCATCATCATCATCATCATCATCATCATCATCATCATCATCATCACATCATCATCATCATCTCATCATCATCATCATCATCATCATCATCATCCTCATCCTCATCCTCATCCTCATCCTCATCCTCATCCTCATCATCACATCATCATCATCATCATCATCATCATCATCATCATCATCATCATCATCATCATCATCATCATCATCATCATCATCATCATCATCATCATCATCATCATCATCATCATCATCATCTTCATATTCATCATCATCATCATCATCATCATCATCATCATCATCGTCTTCATCATCATCATCATCATCACCACCACCATGATCATCATCATCATCATCATCATCATCATCATCATCATCATCATCGGCATCGTCAGCATCATCATCATCAACAGCATCGTCTCAGCAGAAGCCTCATCCTCCTCATCATCACCATTATCAGCATCCTCACCATTGTCATCATCCTCATCATCATCAGCGTCATCATCATCATCATCGTCATCATCGGCATCATTATCACAACCATCAAATCATCGTCACCATCATCATCATCATTATCATCATTAACATCATCATCAGCATAATCATCATGATCCTTATCATCATCATGTTCGTCATCATGATGATGATGATGATGATGGTGATTATGATCATCGTCACCATTGTCATCACCATCATAATCATCACCACCATCACCATCACGGCCATCATTACCATCATCATCACCATCATCAGCATCATCGTCATAATCGGCAATCTCATCATCAGCCGCATCAGCATCAGCATCATCAGCAGCAGCAGCACCATCATCACCACCACAATCATCCTCATCCTCATCATCATCAGCAGCATCAACTTTCCAGCAGCAGCACCATCATCATCATCATCAGCAGCAACCGCAGCGTCATCATCGCCACCATCGCAAACAACATCAAAGACAACAACAACGACCAATTTAAGACTGTTCGCTGTCATATGCTCGTGTGTCGCTTACCGTGAATACCCCAAACCCTCGATACCCGCCATCTTCGTCTTCGATCGTGCCCTCTTGGAGGTATAGGTTCCTTACCTGCGATGTGTAGTTGGCGCAACCCTGAAAAACAGGCAACGAAAGAGAAGACGGAACGAAGGGGGAGGGAGAGAGCTGGAACGCGAGAGCGATTTGCAGGAGGGGCCAGGAGCAGAAAACACGCAGATCGGGCGGGTATACCCTAACGGGCGGGTCGGGAAGGCGGGCCCAGGCGTCAATGTCGAGCAGGCGGGTTGCTCAAGCGTGATCCCTGCATGAATCGCGAGGAAGTTTCGAGCGAAAGCGCAATCCCTCAGTACACCGTGAGAGAAGTCAGAGCGAGAACGCGATTCCTGAGCGTCGAAGGCGCTGCTTCCGAATGAATTGTGAAGACTTCCCAGGCGAGAGCGCGATTCCTCCATACAGTCTAAGGCAGGCCCACGCGAATGCACGATTTGGAAATACACTGCGAGGAAGTGTCAGGTGGCAGCCGCTTTCGGTGTAAACTGAGCGGCCAATGGCCCAATTTAGTGGCACCAGATTCTCCTAATAAAAAATGGCGTGCGAGCCCCTGGAGGAGCATTCTATTCGAAAAATAGAATGGTCACTGGAAGGTGGACCAACAGTAATTACCATCTAGAAAGAAGAGCTCAACAGCAACAAAACAACAGCAGCAACAACTACAACCAGAGCAACGACAACTACAACAACACCAACAACGACAACAATGACACAGCAACAACAACAACGACAACGGCAGCCAACGAAAACAACAACAATCATTGTGATACTGTTCGCTCTGATCTGCTCGCGTGCCATTCAACACGTTTTATATGGAACCCTCGATACCCACCCTCTTCGTCTTCGATCGTACCTACGTTCTCGACGCGGAAGAAGTTTCTAATAAGGTATTGTAACGCCAGATGTACCTTAGGATATAGTCGGCTTACACTCGTCATCTGAAGCGTCCCCTTCTTGGTCGGGACATAGCCAAATGTCATAGCAGGTCTCCCCGCAGGTAGACTGGCCACGAATGTCAGCACTGCTCGTAGCGCAGTGTTGTCGGAGCCGAGTTCCCTGGCTATCAGAGCTTCTATGTAGAGTGAGTGTCGTGCGTCGCCGTATTGTACTTGAATATCGCGGTTCCCCACTCGACTGATGACTTGACCCCTGTCGGGATCAATTCTTACGACCGGAACGGGCCATTCCAGCCTCCCCAGTCGTCCTTCGTAGTTGCGGGGCGTTGATAGTCAACTAGATCTCCTTCATCGTAATAGTGCTGACCGGTGATAGTTGTCTTAGTGCGCAATGCATGATTGGTCTTGGCTACCGCAGTGGCCTGTGTGATAGCTTCAATGCACACCTTACGTATCATCTGTTCCCGAGAGTGATCCGACGTTTCCGTCGGCTGTTCTTGATCCAGAACAGGCACGTCAGGGAGCATTGCCGGTTGCCGCCCAAACAGGGCTTTACATCATGGAGACACCTCACTATAAAAAGTGAATGCGTTGGCGGCAAACAGGGCTTCATGCAGTAGTCGTGCGAACGCAAGAGGCATGACTAACCTGCTGAGTGCAGCTTCCACGACGCGAAGTAGATGGCGTAGTATGTCATTTCTGGCTTCGATCGTCGTAGCATGTTGTCCACGCGCGCGTATCCTCAGCTCAGTGCCTTTTGCCTTAAGGACTGCGTTCGCAGTGTCGTTGTTAAGGGCACCCTCCCCATCGGAGTAGAGTACCTTGGCAAGTCCAAACTGCATCCAGCACTGATGGCACGCATCCAAGATACTGGTCATTGTCTTGTCTGGTATCTCCACTCCAGTGGCATGGCGAATACAACGACCGATGATGTGAAATATATGATGTTCTTGTTTGTAGAACATGAGGTCACATTCAAGTTGAACTTGCCAGGCAGTGTAGTAGATGGCACAACCGCATGCCCAGGCTTGTCCGAAGCCCAGCACTCCCGACACGTGTCGCAGACACCTTTGATCAGGTTGAGTCTCACGTTGTCCAGACCTGCCTTGGTTAAGATGAGTCTCGTATTGGGTTCTTTCGCATGGGGCCAACGCAAGTGTAGCTTCCGCAGCTCGCGTGTTACCACGCTTGGGTCAAGGCTCCGTAGGTCTTGCAAGCTGATTTGCACGTCAAACCTTGACCAGACTGGAAGTTGCGGGCGTGCAGCAGGGTTACCCGCAGGTGGCGGTGGAGGTGGAGGTCCTCCCTGCTGTCGACCACGTCTGACTCTGACCTGTGGCAGTCGGATGTGGTCATCCGAGCTACCCGCTCCACTCGAGGCAGGTTGCCCCGCAACGGGTTCAGCAGCATGTCTGCCTACTGTAATGTCGTGGCTGCTGGCGCCAGCTGTGGGATCGGCTCTAGATCCGGGCCTTGGTGCTCGTAGCCGCACAAATGGTGGTGCGGCTTCCGCCTCGGGTGGTGGCGCTGCTAGTTCGGCAGGAGCGGGCCGTGCCTTTCCGTCGTTGTCGGGCAGTTTCCACGGTTTGGCACACTTGCATTTGCCAGGTGTCCGCAAGTGTCCAGGCTTGTTCTGGCCGTAGTTCTTTTGCAGCTCGGACATGCCCAATGCTAGTCTTCCTTATCATGCCACCTGCAATGCTTAGGGTTTCTGTCGTATGAAGGAGAATGCACGTTAACATTATCTGCGCACGCAAGACATCCTAACCCTCCCACGGGCGGTCTCGTGATCGACCCGTCGGGTTGCCAAGGACTAGTTGGATCGTCCAAATCAAATCCCCTCGCGTGGGTGACAAGCACAATGGAAGAGAAAGGGTGACCAAACAAGGGATCACGGTTTACTGGGCATAGATCGCGCGCGATCTGGACTGCATCGACAAAGAGAGACTGCATCCTTGAAGTTTGATGTGCGGCCATGGACAGTTTTGTATTACATACCGATGCATGTTGATGATGGCCAGCGTATCGTTTTCGTTCGAAATGTGTAAGTAGAAGGCGATGGTCAGCCATAGATCGGTCGGTTTCCGTATCAATACCCCATGGGAATCACGTAAGCCAGTAGTACATTGATCCATATTCACTTTGAAAGTGCCCTTGCATTTGGCCAATGTGGGCCATGGCGGTATCTCCTCCACCCAGGTGCCCACTGGTTGTTCTCGTAAGTAAACCGTCGAAGGTCATTCTGGCATATGGCAACTTTTCCACGAAACTTGATACGTGGAAGGTCTGTTCTATGGTGTTCATGCCAAGTGTGATACTTGGATTGGCAATTGAAATAGGAAGGTAACCCAGTCGTTCTGCAGTTGGGTTGTAGCATGACAACGTTGACGAAGTAGATGTCTAAGCAAGTCATCACTGTATCCTGGACATCATTGCTTCCAAGGTCCTCATCTGATCATTTATTTAAGTTTCTTCCAGAAGACAGACCTCGGCTGAATGCCAATTACAATGCCCCCACTTCCTCCACATAATTCCAACATGTCAACCTTGTTGTGGTGGGTGAAGCGGTCCAGGCATATGGCACACTTGTTGAAGTCACCGTCGCTGATGACTGGCGGTGTTGCCGATGGCCTGATGCGCGTCTGGCGCTCCTG